GTTTTCTTAATTTCTTGAGTGAGGATTCTACACAGATTCAAGAACACAAAGAGAACCAAACAAATTAGGTTTAATGTAACACCAAGACACATTGTAATCATAATATTAAGAAACAGAGAGAGACAGAGAGAGTGTATCAGAGAGAGAGAGAGAGAAAGAGAGAGAGTAACTGAGAGAGCGAGAAAAAATACTGAAAGCACCGAGAGAGAACAGAAAGCTGAAATTCAAGGGAAATAACATAATCATCAGTAAAATATCTCCTATAAAGGCATACAAACAAGAAATGGGGTAGAACAGCATATCTGAAGTACTGAATGGGGATTTGGGGGAAATCCTTTCAACTGAGAGTCAACTACTTTTCAAAGTTGCCGTTTCGATTTGAAGAGTAGATTTAAAATATTCTCAGACAGACATTTACAATTGGGTACTTTTGAATTTAAACCAGAGTTTTTTATTGATGTTCATGCAAACCTTAGAAGGTAGGGAATCGTTATCATCAGTTTTAAAGATGTGAAAAGTGAGGCTGAGATGGTCAGCCCTTTGTTAGAGTCTGCACAATGAGAAAGAGACAGAACTAAGCTTGACCCAGAGGGTGGGATTCAGGGATGGGATTGAACCTGTATAAAGCTTTGGGTAGGATGTTCACTTCAACCATGTTCATTTTCAAGCCATGACATGAAAGAGGTTCTCATTTCCTCGAGTTGTCCTCTCTCTCCTTGTGTTTACGTCTGTTAGATTTCTTTTTTTTTTAGTTTATAAGTTTTGTCTCACCTAATTTAATTTCAGAAACTATACTTTTTGAGTAAAATGTAAATGAATTTTGTATGGCCTTCTCTATGTTTGCATATAGAAACAAAACCACAATTGACTTGTATAGATTTTCTATATTCTTTTTATTTTAGGCATTGAAGTTTCCAAAACTATTGAAGATTGGGTTTCATGCATAACACATTTCAGCACAATACCCTCCATCACAGTATTCACTTACCTCCACCATTATCCCAGGGACCCTGCCTCATTGGAATAGACTCCACACTTTGTCTTCTTCTTGAGGTACTGTGTTTTTACAAAAATGTTTATAATAGGGCTTAAGGCATACGATATTCCAACACTACTGTCAACTTTCCTCCACAAATTTCCCTAGGTTCCCTCCCACCCTCTAGCCTTTCTACTTTACAGGTACATTTTTAAATTTTTCTTCTTGTAGTTGGAGTATTATGCTTATGGTTTGGTCCATACTATGGCTATAGGTCCTTATACCACACCTCTATACAACTAATGTGCATAAGTGTCCCTGGACTATATTACCTCCCTTTGTCTTCTTCTACCTGTCTATTTCTTTCCTTCCTTGTCTTTATCATTTTCATATTCAAGGGTCAAAGGTACTCAAGGTATTCCCACTTTGATAATTTGTTCTATTATTCTATATATCACAAATAAGTAAGATCATCCAGTATTTCTTCTTCTTTTAAAGTACATCACTTAACACAATATCTTTTTGTTCCTTTTAAGTTGCAAAGAACTTCATCATTTCCTTGTTCCTTAAAGGTGCACACATATACCAGGTCTTCATTATAAGTCATCTGTAATCGACCACCTAAATTGATATCATATATTAGCTATAGAAGTAAGTGCAGGAAAGAATAATGGTCTGATCTGTCTATGGCTTGTTTTTTTTTCATTTTGGGGCACACCCGGTGATGCACAGGGGTTATTCCTGGCTCATACATTCAAGAATCACTCCTTTTGGAGCTCAGGGGACTATGTAGAATGAAGAGAATCAAAGACGGGTAAGCTGCATGCAAGACAAACACCCTACCCGCTGTACTATCTCTCCCGCACCTGTATATAGCCTTTTGAATTAAGTTTCACTCACCTAGAGATGGATAACAAAGTGACTTTGGCATGGATACCAAGAAGTAAAATTGCTGGGACATACACCTTATAACCTGATAAAAGGAACATATTCAAGATACAGAAAATACTCACAAAACTCAACAGAGAAGAAACAAACAACAACAAAAAAAAAAACAAAACCAATCCAAATAAATAGCACCTTCTCACAGAACACAGGCAGATGACCAAGGAGCTAATGAAAACGTGTCCATCATCCTGGATTATCAGGAAAATGCAAAAGATAACGAGGACAAAATATCACTTCACACCAGAGAGAATGACCTATATCCAAAGATATTGGGAGAACCAGTGCTGGTGGGGAAGTGGTGAAAACGGAACATTCAATCACTGTTGCAAAACTCTAAAATGCCTCAGTAGGGTAAAAACTTCTCAGAGCATTGAAAGGAGAAATACTATAATTACAAGGAGTAATACTCCTGGCTATCAGTCCCAAGAATACAAATGCACTAACTAGAAAGTTATACCGCCTATACAAACATGCATTCATTGTGTTGATATTTATGAAAGCCAAGCTCTACACTCAACAGAAGGACTCAACAATCAATTAAACTGTGGTGTATGTGCACAACAAATAAGACTAAGTTATGAGAAAAGAGATAAAATCTTGTATTTTGCAGAAACAAAGGCGAGAGCTAAAGGGTGTTATGTGAAGCACAATGAATCAGAAGGAGGAAGACACACAGCAGCTTATCTTATAATCCGAAATGAGGCAGACCCAAATCTGAAGCATAATCTGTTTACGTTTAGGAAAATAAATATTTTTTGCTGACGCTGTGGGTGACAGTGTGACGTTTGACTTACCAGCGCAGTTTGACTTCTTTTTCATACAAAAAAAGAAGTGTCATAGCAGACACTTATGATCAGACACTCAGATGAGCATTTTTCCACAGTGGAGGGCTTGGGGTTTTGTTCTTGGTTTTGCTGAGGGCCTCACAGGCAGTGCCCCGTGATTCTCTGGCAACCAGGGTACTGATACAAGGAGAGGGACCCAGGATGCAGTGCTGTCCAACTGTTAAGGACTGGTAAGCTAAGCAAACTTCGCAGTGCTCTGGCACCTCCCAGGATACACCTGGCTAAGCTCAGCAGAAAAGGCCTCGACCACCCAGCATTGTTCTGAGAACCAGTTCGGATCAGCCTCAGGCTAGATATGTATTTTAACCCCATACGACCTCACCAAGTGCAATTTTCTACGTATTAATATTCAATGATCTTAATAAATATCCTTGAGAGGAGGCACTATTATAAAATCTTACCATTCATTGGGCAACTGAGGGCAAAAATCTCCTGAAATTCCACAACTCAAGAGTGCCACAGCTCAGCTTGAACTCAAGGCCTTTTAATTCCATTAGGGACTACATTTTGAGAACATGGAGGCAGAACATCAGAATTAGACAAATCTTGGAAATAGTCCAGTAGGATTCTGAAGGCAGCAACTTAGAAGTAATATATAAATACGTGAGGCAGCATACCTTTTCACAGGAGGATACCCCCAGGAATGTGAAATACGCTCAAGAATGAGAAATGTGTTTCTGTTCACATAAATTCCCTTTTCGAGCTGTGAATCACTTTTCATAACTCTTTCTCTCACAGCACACAATATGCTTGTGAGATTATTTCAATACGTGGGATTATTTCCATATGATGCCCTACTTCTTTGGCAATACAATGACAATATGCGAGATGCCATTTATTGATACTAATATTAGAAAATGGAGAGCTGCTGGAATTTAGGGGCTGAGAGTATTCATATGAATCATGAAATTTGATAATATCTAATCAACTTTTAATGATATTGTGAGAGATATTCAGCCAATTATCTAAAGAAACAAATTAATTTTTCACTTGAATAGTCTGTCCTTTGAAAAGATAGTTCTTGCCAGGGAAAATTCAGTCTGACCCTGTCACGGGCTCAGATATCCCAAGCTCATACCTGGCTTGCTCGGAGCCCACCAGCACTAAACCTACAGGTGATGTAGGGACCTTAGAAACTGCGAATCACAATCAAGAACTTGTAAGAAGCTTGCACCAACAGAGATGTCTCTACGGCACCTGAAGAGACAGAGCTCATCAACTGGGGTGCACGTCATTTGCTTTAATGTTCCTTAGTTCTTGGATAAGTTCCAGTTGACAGGAAAATTGAGCCATGTGTCATGCGTCATCCGTAAAGTACACTCAAGTCTGTTCTTATCTGGGACTATTTCTTTTTTTTTTCTTTTCTTTTTTCTTTTTTCCATGTTGGGCAGGGGTTACTCCTGGTTCTGCATTTAGGCATTACTCCTGGAGGGGCTTGGGGACCATAAGGGAAGCCGGGGATTGAAACCAGGTCAGCCAAGTGCAAAGCGAATGCCCTACCCGCTGTACTATCACTCGGCCCCTGAGACTCTTTTCTTCCCAAAGTTTACACTCAAATGTTCTGGGCTCCTTTCTGACTCCCATGAGTGGGCGATAGTGTATGAACTAATGTGATAGGGTCTGTTTATGGAAACACAGTGCGCAAAATGTGTAGTTGTCCCACTAGAAAAAAAATTCAAAAGATAATATATATATATAAAAAAGAAATTCAGTGAAACCTTTTTGTTCCCATAGAAGGAGTTGATGTGATAAGGAAATAAGTAGCAAAGCATGTAGTTTTTCCTCTTTGGATGCATTTTCATTGGAATTCACAAAGGCCCTGCTATCCTTCAAAATGGTATCCATGCTAATAATCTATCTCTATCCAAGTTATCGACCAGGATCACAGGCTCCAAGGAGAAAATCCGGAAGAAACTAAATCAATTGTGCACAAGTAAAGTGCTCTGTATGTGTGTGATTTCATTCACACATGCATGGCTGCAAGTAATTCCTATTCTTCTAGATGGTGCTAGATATTCACTGGAATAAATAGCTATGAACAACCAGACATGCCCTTGTATCTAGCAGAGTAGATAGGCTAGTGGCAGTTCATAGACTCTGTCCTTCCAAACAAGTAGGGGAATTTCTAAAACCAGAGGTCTGTAACTCAGCAGAGCCTCTTACTCGGATGTTTGGCCAAGACTTTAGAGTCTGTGATGCTGGTTGATAACTTCAGCCCGAGGGAGAGAGAGGGGAATGGAAGCCAAACCTTGTGACCTACACATGTCCCTGTGGGCAGGACCAGAAAGGCTCTCTGGGTATAAATGACCCCGCGCTGCCCAAGCTCCTGAGTCCAGCTGCTGACTGCTCATCCTTTGAGACAAGCTAACAGCTCCCAGCCACAAACACCATGAAGCTGTCCCTGTGTGCCTTGCTGGTGGCTCTGGCCCTTTGCTGCTACCAGGGTGAGTATATTTCCCCATCAGATTAGCATCAGACCTGAACTAAATAAATTACTTAGAGGGACCTGAACACATCAATGTTCGAAATGTTACCTATGTGAACTGTTCCCACAAAAGTATATGGCTATTACAGTGATGTAATACCACTTCTCATTGATCACCTGCTTCCGTTAGACATGACTAGTTCATTCTGATAGTTTTCCAAGTTGGAGAAAGGAAGAAAGAACTAGGAGATTTCAGTGTGAGTATTGCAGGGCTTAAGGTACTCACTTTAGATGTGACCATTTGATCCTCAGCACCACATATGTTCCCGTTTAGCACTGCCAGGAGTGGTCCTTGAGTGGGGTGCTGAAACAGAGGAAGGAAAGAATGAAGATGAAGGTGTGCAATCTGGCACAATCTCTCACCAGTTCCTTTACTGGAGCAGAACATTTCATGTCTCCACATTGTCAGGTCTTAGTCAGGGTTCACAGCAGTCACCGGTACAAGCTAGGCCAAAGGGGTGAGAAAGATAATTCCAAAGAGGTCCAGGTATCAAGCGGAGATCGAGTTGCTGTTAGATTTTCTTGTCCCAGGTATGACGTGACAGTTTGGGCCTCGAAGTTGTCCTTTCCTCCCTAGATCCTCTAAGGTTCTGGGTCACGTGGTGTCTTCTGCACACTGTGGACGAGGGATGGGATATGCTCAGTTGTTAGGCTAGAAACAGCTTTGCTCATGTATTGTATTTTCTTTCTTTCCATTCTAGCTGAAGCAGCCATGACTTGCCCAGCACTTGCAGATGAAATGACTTCATTTGTGATGAGCTCAGAAACTGGCTTGAGAGCATACCTTGCTCAATTTAAGGCACCTCCAGAGGCTGTGGAGGCCAAGATGTTAGTGAAGAAGTGCGTCAATGATAACATTACACTGAAACAAAGATTGCAGATTGTAGACACTTTGGTAATTTCTTCTTATTTCTACATAGGACTTTTATCTCAGTTTCGTAGACATGAAGGAGATATTGGTTCAATCAAAGCGATCAAAGGGACAGGTGCTAGAGAATCAGCCTATATTCTCTACTTGTAAGCGAAACCATGCCCATATGGCAGGTGGGGACTTTCCTCCTGCTTACCAACTATTGAGGCTGCACAGAGCATCCTGGCAGGTCACCCCCTGAGGCTTCACCATCCTCCGGAGGGGAAAACCAGGCCACACGGACCATGTGGAAGGGCCAGAGATCTATTTCCCCCTACATAGGAGCTTCCAGACGGCAGGTGCCCTGATTCTGACAGAGCCACAGGGAATATCATGTGAATGTGGGAGAGCTGAAGGGACATAGAAGGCTGGGACAGAGATGGCAAAGGCTGACACCAGGGAGTCTGCAGCCATCAGCACAGCCTGAGTCACTCTGGGCACTTCATGTCCTCTCCATCCTCACCCACCACTCTCCTTCCCCTGTGCGGTGGGCATGGACCCCACCCTCACTGCACCCTCATATCTTCATGAAGAAAGGAGATGTGGCAAGGGTTCCACCAGATCATCTACCACTCACACAGGCCATAGTCATCAGCAAATGTCCATAGGAGCTGGACAGTCCTGCTGAGAAGCACCTCAGTTTCCAATTCAGATCCGTGAGGCCAGAGTCTCCATTTTCCCATCCCTCTTGCTGCTTCATAGTCCCCAGCACCCTAAGAGATGTCAAAGAGAGGTTATTGACCCGAGAAGACAGGGAATATTGTTGGCATCCCTGTCCCACTCATGAACCAGTATGTGTCAAGTAACAACGTGTTGAGCAGCTCTGCGGGATCATGTTTCCTGTGTTGATTGAAATATCACTGGCATCCTCAGGGTTAGGCTGTGTCAACCTGTCAGCTCTCTTGCAGTCGAACTGACCACACTTTCTTTCTGTTTTAACCATTTCAGAAAAACGTTCTTATGGGCTGCTTGAAAGAATAAGAACAAGTCTATTATACCGGATCAGTGCTGTACAAGATCTACTGAAATTTTAGAAAATGTCAAGGTTTCAGCATCTATTCTAATAAATTACTTGCCCTGCACATGTCTGCTCTCTAATTTATTCACTCCAGTGTCTGGCTTTGTGTTTGCAGAGATTCTATGAATTGTCCCTTGCTAATTATCAAGAGTCATTTGCAGAAAAGGTAGACACTATTATCCTTGGCAACGTGAGTGCCGGGATCCCAAGAGAAATTATGCTCCAGAGTCACTCTGTCTCTTGTTATCATATTCCATCATTGGGCAATGATGAAAATGATAGCTTAGATTTGAAAAGTACAAAATCAAGCATCCTGTCACTGTTCTTCAAAGTGGAAATAGATGGCCTATTGATGTGGTTGATTTGCGTCTCTCTGCATGCAACAATATCAGTATATCCTCATCAGAGCCACCACTATCCTCTTGTGTTTTTCCTCCACTCCGTGTTTCCGGTCCTGTCAATTGTATGTCATGGTTTCTAGTGTACCTCTACACTTGTGGATAATCCAGGCTGAGAAATTCACGTTGCTCCATAGAACTCTGCGCACTCCAATTGACCATCTTAGTGCTAACCCTTACACACACCAGGGCTAATGTTCCACCACAGCCGCTCAAGAGTACTTGAGACAAGAGTGGTGATTCTCTCTCTGATCTCCACGTGGGTGCCTACAATTTTTTCAGAAAAAATAGTCTTATACTATCAGTGTAGCACAGCGGGTAGGGCGTCTGCCTTGCACGCAGCCAACATGGCCGAGCCGAGTTCAATTCCTCCGCCCCTCTCGGAGAGCCCGGCAAGCTACCGAGAGTATTCGATATGCCAGACACAGTAACAACAAAGTCTCCAATGGAGACATTACTGGGCCCGCTTGAGCAAATTGATGATCAACGGGAGGGCCTTTACTTTACTTTACTTACTGTATACTATCAGTGTGGCTGCAAAACAACAACGGAAGGACTCAGTCTTCTTCCAAACTCTATCCCCCACTTGAGCACATGGGCCCACCCAAATGGACCGAGTCAGAGAACCGGATCTGGGAAACTTTTGGTGTTCCTCTAACAAATGTCATGTATCTGTGACATCACCAAACCTGATTATGACATGACAGGTAATCGCCTCATGTCTGAAATAAGCAGAAACCAAAGTCAAGATGCCGCATTCCCTTGCCAAGACCAGAGAAAACCACGCTGGCAGTCTCTAGCTTCTGATGATCAATGATAGTGCCATTCACTTGTGCTGTGGCAACATCACCTCCAACATTGCTGCATAGAATCTTGTCTCTCTGAATCAATCATCTGTGCTTCCTTGAGAGAAAACCGAGTTACATGCAGAGGACTTACACACAGAAACTCCAGAAACTCTCCCTGTGGTAGTTCCAGAAGAGTTTTTTAAATCTCTTCGTGGCCGGGGAGTTTGGTAACTGCAGTTCTAGGCAGTGGGATGTGAAGCTGCAACAGAGAGAGCGTTTGAGCCCATAGACCTTTTCACCTTCCTTCACCTAAAATTTTCGCTTTGTTTTTTGTGCTGTCCCTACTCACTCGACTTCTCACATCCCCATAGCTGGATGTTGTTTTCTTTTCTCCCTTTTTATTTATTTATTTTTGTTTTTTTTTTGCTTTGAGGCCACACTCAGCGCTTAGTCCTGTCATCCTGGCTCTGGCACTCAGGCATCTATCCTGATTGCCCTTGGGGGCAATATGCCCCCATCCCCACCCCTAAACCACCTCCTCCTAGGCCCTGAGATTCCCTGCTTGCAATGCATCCTGTTCACTGATGCGAGATTCTAATCCAACAAACAAAGTGTCTCTAGACTCTCTCTTCCATTACCCGGTCTCAACAGGACACTTATTCCTACGTATTGTTAGGACGAGCACTCATGATGAAGGCATCATCACTTTCTAGTTTTGGTGGGATTGTGGTCACATAACCTCTTGATTGAGAACATAGAAGATAGTTGTTAAAGTCCACTCTTGCTTTCCTAATAAAACACTTTCATGGAGCCACAGTGATTGAGTATAGCATCTAACTGAAAGTTTTTGGCTCATAATTCTGTGCAACATAATCTCTCAGTGACTCTATCTCTCCCCACTGTCCACGTTTCTTCTACATCCCCCGACCCCTGTTATAATTCACTTGGTAGCCTCCACTCTGTTGTAATGTCTCAGGGTTTGCTTTTATTCATTGTTGTCTCTTCCCTAGCTTTATGTCTTTTAACTTCTCATATATCCACATATTTTACATTTATATACTTACTTTACTTACTTTTACTTCACACCCCACTCCTTTCAGCAGGGCATTCTCCAGTTCGCCCACTATAAGAAAATGAAAGTTTTCATCCTCGCTTATCATTCCAATATCGATCTACCCCACAGTTACTTTATCCCTTCGTCTGTTTCTGGGCGCTTGGGTTGCTCCCAGATGTTGGCTACTTTAAAACTTCCTGCCGAGGTCACAAGGCTGTGTCTATTGGTATGATCTGGCATTTGTGACTTCTTGGATAGGTGCCTCAAAATGGATCAGGGGTTATTTCCTTTCTTTGCCATTGAGAAGTCTCCATATTTTTTCCCATAGGGGTTGAAACGATGGACACAATTCAACCTGTGGATTAGAGTTGTTTTATCACCACGGACCACCAGCATGGATCTTTTTCATGACTGTCTAATATGGCTATTCTCCCTGGTCTAAGGTGTTAACTCGGGTCCATTAGGTTAACATTTTCTGTATCGTGTGTCACGGTAAACATTTTAGATATATTTGCTGACTGTCTAGGCATCTCTTTGAAGAAATTTCTTTCATTCACCTGTCCATTTTGTAAGGGGTGGTTTAACTTTTTGTTACTGAACTTTGTGAGTCCTTGAGTTATCTCAGATATTGGTATTAATCCGATGCAGAATGTGCCCATATTTTCTCCGACGATGTAAGGCATCGTTTGATCCGTCATTATATTTTTTTAAACTATGACAACAGTTTTTTCTTTTTATATTCCTTTCTAATCAGAATATCAACTTGAGTATTATTCCTTTTTTTCCCCCTTTATTTTATTTTATTTTATTTTTTTACAGTTGTAAATTAATAATTTTTTGTGCTTTGGTTTCAATTATACAATGAACAGATACCCATCCCTCCACCAGTGCCCATTTTCCACCACTATGGATAATATCTCTCCCACCCCCATCCCCCCATCCCCCCTGTCTCTGTGGCAGGGCAATCCCCTGTGTTCTCTCTCTCCTTTTGGGTGTTGTGGTCTGCAAAAGAGGCATTGAGTGGCAAACATGTTCAGTCTATAGTCTACTTTCGACATGCATCTCCCCTCCTGGGAGGATCCTCCAAACATCCTTTATTTAGTGCTCCCTTCTCTATCTGAACTGCCCTTTCCTCTAGGATACCCGGCTGGCCTCTAAGTTATGGAGTAATCCTCCTGGTGCTGATCTCAGCTATTCTTGGGTATTAATCTCATACTTTGTTACTTTATATCCCCCAGATGAATGCAATCTTTCTATGTCTATCCCTCTCTTTCTGACTCATTTCGCTTAGCATGATACTTTCCATATTGTACCACTTGTATGTAAATTTCATGACTTCATCATTTCTAAGAGCTACATAGTACTCCATTGTGTAGATGTACCAAAGTTTCTTTAACCAGTCATCTGTTCGTGGGCATTCAGGTTTCTTCCAGTTTCTGGCTATTGTAAAGAGTGCTGCAATGAACAAACAAGTGCAGATGTCACTTCAACTATACATTTTTGCCGCTCTGGGATATATTCGCAGGAGTGGTATTGCTGGGTCAAATGGGAGCTCAATTTCTAATTTTTTGAGAATCGTCCATACTGTTTTCCAGAAGGGCTGAACCAGTGGACATTCCCACGAACAGTGAAGGAGTGTCCCTTTCTCGCCACATCCACGCCAGCATCGGTTGCTTTTGTTCTTTTGAATGTGGGCCAGTCTCTGAGGTGTGAGATGGTATCTCATTGTGGTTTTGATCTGCATCTCCCTGATGATTAATGATGTAGAGCATTTTCTCATGTGCTTTTTTGCCATTCGGATTTCTTCTTTGAGAAAGTTTCTGTTCATTTAATTGCCCCATTTTTGGATTGGGTTGGATGTTTTCTTCTTGTGGAGTTTAACCAGTATTTTGTATATCCTGGATATCAACCCCTTGTCAGATGTGTATTCAGTGAATATCCTTTCCCATTCTGTAGACTGTCTTTGTATTTTGGTCACTGTTTCTTTGGAGGTGCAGAAGCTTCTTAGTTTAAGATAGTCCCATTTATCTATCTCTGTTTTCACTTGCTTGGCCAGTGGCGTGGCATCTTTGAAGATAACATTAGCTTCAATGTCATGGAGGGTTTTGCCAACTTTATCTTCAATGTACCTTATGGTTTCTGGTCTGATGTTGAGGTCTTTAATCCATTTTGATCTTACTTTTGTACATGGTGTTAGGCAGAGTTCTGAGCCTATTTTTTTGCATGGAGCCGTCCAGTGATGCCAACACAATTTATTAAAGAGGCTTTCCTTACTCGACTTCACATTACTTGCACCTTTATCAAAGATTATATGAGCATATGATTGAGGGGAGATGTCAGTGTATTCAACCCTGTTCCATTGGTCTGCAGTTCTGCCTTTGTTCCAGTACCATGCTGTTTTAATTATTACTGCTTTGTAGTACAGTTTGAAGTTCGGGAGGTTGATTCCTCCCATTTTCTTTTTCCCAAGAATTGCTTTAGCTATTCGTGGGGACTTATTGTTCCATATAAATTTCAGGAGTGTTTGCTCCATTTCTTTGAAGAATGTCATGGGTATCCTTATAGGGATTGCATTGAATTTATACAATGCTTTTGGTAGTATTGCCATTTTGACAATGTTAAGTCTCCCGACCCATGAGCAGGGGATATCTTTCCATTT